AGAACTGGTACAAGCTCTTCTGTGAATGTTTTGTAGAATTCTCCAGTGAAGCCATCTGGGCCAGGGCTTTTTTTGGTTGGGAGTTTTTTTTATTGCCTTTTCAATCTCTTCTTCTGTTATGGGTCTGTTCAGATTTTCAATATCACTTTGTTGTAGTTTGGGTAGGCCGTGTGTTTCTAGAAATTTATCCATTTCCTAACATCAATCTATTTTGTAAAATTTAGAATTGTAGGATGTTGGTGCTGGAAAAGGCTGTCTGGATCATTTTGTCTAGTGATTTTTCAAACCAACCTCCCTGCAGGAGGCAACCTCTGAGGTGTCTCCACAGACTTGTCAGAGCTTCTCAGAAAGTTATCCCAAGTACAGTAACTCCTTTGTTTCATAAATAAAGAAACTAAGGCTCAGAGCAGCTGTGTTACTTGTTTAGGGTAAAACAGCTACTTGGTGATAATGTCCTGAGGTTCACTCCCATGTGAATGTAGCATGAATATGTTATGCTATCCTAGTGGAGAAGCAAGTAGGGGGGAAAGTGGCACATGGCCATGGTTTTTGGAGTAGAAACTCCTCATTCTGTCACTCAAAGTGGTGGCAAAGCAGTTATGCAAGAGAAGCTGAGATGGGAAATGTATTGTTCCATTTAAGGACTGCCCTGGGGAATGCCCTATTTGGACGCAAAGTTGCAGGGCATTATCTCATTCAGCTCACCTTTCAACTGGTGGTTCTCAACTCTAGCTGTATGTAAGAACCACCTGGAAACTTTAAAAAAATACTGCTTCCTGGGCCTCCCCATAGACTAAATTAATCAGACCCTCCCGGGTAGGCTGGAAAGAACAGGGTATTCTGTCCCTAACTGATCCCTATTAAGATGTGCATGTAGTGAGCTCATCATCTCAGAGAAGCTTCCAGTCTGCCCAGCAAACCGAGCCTTGCCAGAAGAGGAAGAAACACTAGAGAGAAAAAATCCCCCTTATCTCCTTGTTCTGAGGCTGAGCTCACAGAGATAATGGAAGAAAAAACAATGGAAACCCACCTATCTGTGTATTTAATGAGATAATACATACAAAGCACTTTGAACATTGGCTGGTACATACCAAAAACCAAATCTGTTGCCATCAAGTTTCTGACTCATTGTGACCCTATAGGACAGAGTAGAACTGCCCCATAGGGTTTCCAAGGAGCAGCTGGTGGATTTGAACTGCCAACCTTTCGGTTAGCAGCCGTAACTCTCAACCACTACACCACCAGGGCTCCTAGTACACAGTACATAATAAATGGTGGAGAAAAAAAAAGTAGTCGACAGAGAAACAGATATAAGTAAAATTAGCCTAAGTGTTCATTTCAAGAGAAGCAATGGATGTAGGTGATCAATAGAATGAATGATTCCCAAGAGAAAATAAGATACTTGGGATAACTTTTATTAAAGTCATTTTTTGTCTCTATAGAAGTTTCCAACTTAGCTCCCCAATTATGCTTGGTTTCGACCACCAGGATTTCCCAAACTGTGCTTTATGGAACATCTTCCCTGAGATATATGTGAGCACAAAAGGGATTTATGGTTAAATAACTTTGGAAATGCTGCATGCCATAATCCCTTGGAGATTCCAAAGTATGGTAGCACCCTAATGGTTTGACAAATTCTGGAGGAAAAAGTTTCATTTAGTTTAATCCAGCATTTCTTGAATTTATTTGATCACAGAGCCCTTTTTTCATACACTATGTATAAAACATTCCATAAAACTACTGTTCCATGGAACAGCATGTATGAAATATTCCTGACAAGCCAGAGGTGTAGAAAATGACCCAACCCACCCACTGACGTCAAGTCGATTCTGACTCATAGCGATCCTATAGGACAGAGTAGAACTACCCCACAGGGTTTCCAAGGCTGTAATCTTTACAGAATCAGACTGCCACATCTTTCTCCCATGGAGTGGCTGGTGGGTTTGAACCACCAACCTTTCAGTTAGCAGGTGACAGCTTAACCACTGTGCCACTTGCTGTGTATTTACATTGACCAGTATATATATGACTTTCCAACTTAAATCGTCATCGATTGGTTGGCTCCTAAAGGCAAGAGTGCCTTCCTCCTGTTTTGTTTTACCCTTCCCTGTGGGTTCCTGCCATGGAAGAAGGCCAACCTAGGTGACCTGCTACAGAGACCTGGAGTCTTTGACCGTGGAATGGCTGAGGTCCTTCAGGACTGCTGAGCTGCATGCAGGATGGTAAAGAGATATCCCAGGACTGAAGGCTGCTGGTTTGTTCATTCATTCACCCATTCGTTCACCAACTTCTTTTCTTTTGTTTGTTTTTACTAGGAGGAAAACTTGGTGGCACAGTGGTTAAGAGCTACGACTGCTAACCAAAAGGTCGCGAGTTCAAATCCACCAGGCACTCCTTGGAAACTCTATGGGGCAGTTCTACTCTGTCCTGTAGGGTCGCTATGAGTCGGAATTGACTAGATGGCAACGGGCTCAGGGTAAGGCGGATTAGTTCCCTAGGGCTGCTGTAACAAAGTACCACAAACTGGGTGGCTTAAAACCACAGAAATGTATTTTGCACTGTTCTGGAGGCTAAAAGTCTGAATTTAGGGATGGCGTTGTGGATTCCCTTGAATTTTAGAGTGCCTTTGGTAGATTCTGATCACTTTGTTGAGTACTTCATTGGTTGTTCATTAGGACTTGGGTAGAAATTGTAATTGTTGTGTGCCGTGGAGTCCATTCCGACTCATAGTGACCCTATAAGACAGAGTAAAACAGCCCCACAGAGTTTCCAAGGCTGTAATAGAGATATAAGCAGTCCTTGTGACACAGTGGTCAAAGAGCTCAGCTGCCTATCCTCAGGAGAAAGATGTGGCAGTCTGCTTCCATAAAGATTACAGCCTTGGAAACCCTATGGGGCAGTTCTACTCTATTCTATAGGGTCACTATGAGTTGGAATGACTAGGCAGCAATGGGTTTGGTTTTGGTTTGGAATACCAAAAAAAAAAAAACCCAAACCAAATCCATTACTGTCGAGTCCATTCCGACTCATAGCGACTAGGATAGAGATATGAAATTAATTTGTCTAAACATATATATTGCTTATCAGTATATACAATTTCACTTCCAATATGTCAGTTTTCCAGTGTTAGGAGAATATTTAAATGTATGATACATCCACAAAATGAAATATATTAAATTAAATTAATCTTTATGGTAATTTTGGAAAATTTTAGGAAACTCAGGACAGCAAAAAGAGTATTAACACAACTGTATAAGAACTGAAATTTTTAAATGTCTAAAAAGAAATATTACCAACATTAACAATGCCCACTCGTGAGTGTTGGGAATAGGATTTTCTTCTTACTTCCATTAGTTTATATCTTTATAATTTTTCTATAATGAGCATCTGTTACTTTTATAATTGTGGAAAATAAAGTCTATTTCTTTAATTCATACCTACATCATCAGTTTCTGAAAAAACCCGAACAGACATTATACATGAACTTTATATTAATGTCTTTTTTAGTGGAAAAACTTGTTTTCCACGCACACATGAGTGAATGGAAATAAATGCAGGAAATACCACTTACAAAGTTATATCTACATAGTTCTGGCGAGCAGAGGAGGAGAAATGTGGAAGGGGTGAGACTTTTCTGAGAAATTCTGTGAGGAAATGGTAACTTCTCGGCGGGAGGGGCGAGTCGCAGCAGACCGCGTTTCAGTGAGAAGAATTACCTGGCAGCCTGCAGAGGGGGTGGTGGCTGGTAGGGAAGGTGGCCTCAGTCCTGCCCTAGCCGGGGGCGGGGCAGGAAGCGGCCGCAGCTCGGTGCGCGAGGCGGAGCCGCGGGAGCGCCCCAGGTGGGGATGAGCTGCGCGTCACCTGCCGGGGGACCCGAGCGGAGCCTCCGGCCACGCTGCGCTCAGTGAGGAAACCGGAGGGATTCCATGGCGAAGTGGTGCGTCCCGGGTGGCAGCTGATGAAGCCCCTCAGCTGAAAGGGGCCTGAGAGGGGCTGGCATGGGTCTTGAGCCCCCGGCACCTTGGCTGCTCCTCGTCACCTGGCTCCCAGCAGGTGAGCCGTGAGAAAAGTGGACCCACTCGGGGCCCAAGTAGACAGGAAGCCATTGTTGCCTGGCCTTGCAGAACTGGCCACAGGCGGGTCAGTGGAGGCCTGGGCCGCGCTCCGGTGGCTCTTGCACGGGTGCCAGGAGGTGCAGGGAACTGGATCGAGTTTCTGCTTGTGGGAACCTGTTGTTTTCCTCATTTATTAGTCCGGGTCCTTTCGAAAACAGGGGCAACTAACAAAGAAACCCAGAGCGTCTGGACTTCCTCTCCCGCGTTCACTAGGCACCTCTCGGTCTCTAAAACTGGATCCATAGAAGCAGACACACCACTCCTGAAATTCCTAGTTACTATTCTCTTTCATCTTTTACTTGCTTTTAGATAAAACTTGGCCCAGAAATGCCTTTATTTTACTCCTGGGAGGTGATAATATGTCCTCAGCATGTAAAGAAATGCTCCGTATGCTTCAGAATCTTTTTTTCAGAAACAGTAACGTGTGACTCTTTGCCAACTGTCCTCGCCGTCACTTTTCTACTTTCTGTGTATCCACCCACTTGCCCAACTTCCCTTCTCCCTTCGTATCTCCCCATCAGCTCTTCAGCCCCGCACCCACTCCTTCACCCTCTTGGCCTTCTCTCAAGTCCCCTGTCTACTTCGGAAAGCAGGTTCTTGGGTCTCCACGTATCTGTTGGAAATACGTCAGGAGTGTGTCTGCGTGAGTGAAAGCAGCTAGGAAAGGATAGCCGAGTGACAGAATGTGAAGGCTTCTTCAGCCTTTCCAAATTAAGGTGGAGTGACCCTAAAAATAAGCACTTAGAAGCCTGCTTGGAAGTTCAGTCCTCTGTAAAGGTTTTGTTTCGTTTTATCTTTATTTTTTCCTCTTTTGGGACTACCTGGCTCTCTTACCTCTAAGTTGTAAGTGGAAGGTCTGCCCAGAGTTTATTCACAAACCAATTTGTCTTGTATTTTTCTGAAGGAAAAGATGTAATATGACGGTGCAGGCAGAATTCCATGTTTACAAGCTTGATAGGACATGGGAATCCCTCAGGTGTAACCAAATATTCAGACAGGATTCAACAATAACTTAAGAAAAGTTTAATGCTGCAGATAGAAGAGAGGGAGATTACAAAAGGGCAGGTAGACTAGAACACTGATATCCCCAAGGCCTTCTGGCTTAAAATGCTCTCTGCAGATAGAAAACCAAAAAAACTAAACCCGTTGCTGTCAAGCTGATTCCGACTCATAGCGATAAGTCCTTCCTGTAAATTGTCTGAAGCTGACAAGACTAGATGTTGGACACCCATGATGTACAAGGAAATGGGTGAAAATTCCACTTGAGCAGTCACCAGCTTAGTCTGTGAATGCGAATTCATAAAACAGCTCTCGGTCTTGCACAGTCTTCTCTCCCAAGCCTTGCCTGGTCAACTCACAGCTGCTGGGGATTTCTGAAGCTGCTGGAGCTGCCTTTTCAGGAAAATAGAGGTCTGCTTCCACTTCTGCCCCAGGGTATCCCGTCCCTAGAATTAGGACTTCACCGCCAGCAGCCATCTGGCTCTATAGAATAAGAAAAAGAAGCCTCACAGACAAAAATCTCACTAGGATATGAACCCCAATGCTTAAATTGCCAGCATGATGTTTTTAAAATTGTCCAATTCTTACGAAGTGAGTTGAACACTGAACATTTTTCAAATACAGTGATTTTATGCAAAGCTTATATTATTATAGTAAGCAAATTGCTAAATGGACAAGAACTTCAGAAAGCAGAGCTCTGAGTGTTCATGAACCAGCCCTGCAGTGTTGGCTGCCAGGACGCGGAAGTAGTATAGTAATACAGTCTGGGGTGTTTGCCTGACACTCTTTAAACGGAAGCCCTCCTGCAGGACACATTTTTGAACCAGAGAGTGCTGGCAGTGAAAAGTCCCAAGTGAACATCTAACCTCACCCTCCCATCTCACAGATGAAAAACTGAGATGTCGGTTCTTTTGACTCTAACACTTTGAGGAGGAAATAGCTATTTTAGTAGATATTTTCCCTGAATATGTATAGGAAATGTAGCTAAAGCTGTTCAGCTGTTTAATGTGGGTTTGGACTTCGCATCTACGATGTCTGTGTGACTCTGGGCAAGCTACTCAAATACTCACAGCCTCCAGTAAATGAGGATAATAGTACATATCTCACAAGGATTTTGTGGAAAGTTTTAAAGCACTTAACACAGTGCCTGGAACAAAGTAAGGGCTCAGTAACGTTGGCCATTGTGATAATGGTGGTCATGATTTAGACCCAGGTAGATTTTTTGTTGTTGTTAGGAGTCCCTGGGTGAGCCCTGGTGGCGCAGTGATTAAGAGCTCGGCTGCTAACCAAAAGGTCAGCAATTTGAGTCCACCAGCCACTCCTTGAAAACCCTATGGGGCAGTTCTACTGTCCTATAGGGTCGTTAAGAGTCAGAATTGACTCGATGGCAATGGGTTTGGTTTTCGGTTTTTGGGTGATGCAAGCAGTTACCACATTTGACTGCTAACAAAGGTTGGCAGTTGGAGTCCACCAGGAGGCTCCTCAGAAGAAAGGCCTGGCAATCCACTGTCAAAAAAATCAGCCATTGAAAAACCCTGTGAAACATAGTTCTACTCTGACATACATGGGATCGCCATGAGTCAGGATCGATTTGACGGAAACAGGTTTTTATGGTTTAGATTTTTTTTAAAGCTAACTTTATTATTATTATTATTTTTTATTGTTGTGCTTTAAGTGAAAGTTTACAATTCAAGTTAGTCTCTCATATAAAAATGTATACATACATTGTTTTGTGACCCTAGTTGCTCTCCCTATACTGGCAGCACACTTCCTTTCCACCCCAGATTTCCCATGTCCATTCAACCAGCTCCTGACCCTCTCTGCCTTCTCATCTCTCCTCTGGACAGAAGCTGCCCGTTTAGTCTCATGTATCTACTTGAGCTAAGAAGCACGCTCTTCACAAGTATCATTTTATGTCCCATAGTCCAGTCCAATCTCTGTCTGAAGAGTTGGCCTTGGGAATGTTTTTAGTTTTGGGCTAACAGAGAGTCTGGGGGCCATGTCTTCCAGGGTCCCTCCAGTCTCAATCAAACCATTACGTATGGTCTTTTTACTAGAATTTGAGTTCTGCACCCCACTTTTCTCCTGCTCCGTCAGGGACTCTCTGTTGTGTTCCCTGTCAGGGCAGTCATTGTGGTAGCAGGGCACCGTCTAGTTCTTCTGGTCTCAGGCTGATGGAGTCTCTGGTTTTTGTGGCCCTTTCTGTCTCTTGGGCTAGTACTTTCTTTGTGTCTATGGTGTTCTTCGTTTGCCTTTACTCCAGGTGGGTTGGAACCAATTGATGCATCTTAGATGGCCGCTTACTAGCTTTTCAGACTGCAGTCACAACTCACCAAAGTGGGATGCAGAACATTTTCTTAATAACCTTTGTTATACCGATTGACCTAGCTGTCCCCTGAAACCATGGTCCCCAGACCCCCGCCCCTGCTATGCTGTCCCTCGAAGTGTTTGGTTGTATTCAGGAAACCTCTTAGCTTTGGTTTAGTTCATTTGAGCTGACTTCCCCTGTAGAGTGTGCTGTCCTTCCCTTCACCTAAGAGAATTCTTGTCTACTTTCTGGTTAGTGAATACCCCCCTCCCTCCCTCCCCACCCTGGTAACCATCAAAGAATGTTTTCTTCTATGTTTAAACCTTTTCTTGAGTTCTTATAATAGTGGTCTTATACAATATTTGTCCTTTTGTGACTAACTAAATTCACTCAGCATAATACCTTCCAGATTCCTCCATGTTATGTTTCATAGCTTCATCGTTGTTCTTTATCGTTGCGTAGTATTCCGTTGTGTGAATATACCATAATTTGTTTATCCATTTGTCAGTTGATGGGCACCTAGGTTGTTTCCATCTTTTTGCTATTGTGAACAGTGCTGCAACGAACATGGGTGTGCATATATCTGTTCGTGTGATGGCTCTTCATTCTCTAGGATGTATTCCAAGGAGTGGGATTGCTGGATCATATGGTGCTTCTATTTCTAGCTTTTTAAGGAAGCGCCAAATTGATTTCCAAAGTGGTTGTACCTTTTGCATTCCCACCAACAGTGTACAAGTGTTCCAGTCTCTCCGCAACCTCTCCAGTATTTATTTTATTGTGTTTTTTGGGTTAATGCTAGCTTTGTTGGGGTGAGATGGTATCTCATTGTAGTTAAAGCTAACTTAAAAGAAACAATTTAAGCTTTTCCTATGGCTTCTCCTGTGGCTAAGAAACCGTGAGTTAACAGTCAAGTGACCATCAGGTTGGAATCCTGAGTCAACTTCTTACTAGCTCTGACTCTGGACAAATTACATAAATTCCCTTTGACTAGAAAACAGGTGAAATTCCTAACAAGCCCCTCCCCATCCTGCACCCACGAGTGATTTTGGTTGTTGGGTGAATTAAGATCAAGAAGTATCTAGCACAGTATCTGCAATGTGGTCATCACTGCAGAGATACTGGCTCCCTCCCCACCAGCCACCTCTTTCTTTATTTTTAAACTAAACTTTCAAAATGTCTGTCAGACCAAACTGAATATGAAGCTGCCTCTCTTGCTCCCAGTATCTACTAAAGCAGTGACTTTCAAACGTTTTTTTCATAGCTCCCAGTCAGAAATAGTTTATAATGGGACCCGACACACACACACATATATATATACTTATAAAATGGAAACAAAAGCCTCACCGAAAATCCTGCCACTATGTCAGGTAAGGTAATAATAAAATAGGCATCGTTTTAGTGATATTTAAATTCATAGAGTATAATCCCAAAGTAGGTTTCTGGGTGGCACCAACAGTTTGTGCTCATCTCCTAGCCTCAAGGTTGGTGGTTCAAACCCACCTAGCAGCTCTGAGGAAGAAAAACCTGGCAATCTGCTTCCATAAAGATTACAGACAAGAAAACCCTCTGGAGCAATTCTACTCTGTGACACATGGGGTCACTGTGAGTCGGAATCGACTCGACAGCAATAG